GAACTTCTTACAAGAAGTTAAAGACTTAGAGAATTTTTTGTCCCATGCAGCTTAAGCAGATTTTAAAACAAAAGCCTTAGACTGATTTTCAGTTACCTTTGTTGAAATAAGCTAAAGGCTTCTTTATGTAAAGCATTTTTTATTAAAACAAATTTTTTTAAAAAAAATCTTATACCTAGCACAGTATTGTTATAGAATTACATGTAACATATTTTGTATGGTAGTCACATCTTTTGGTTTCTTAATTGGGGTCAAAGCGGCCAGAGGTTATTCAGCCTCTTGCTGCTTGGTTCACCCACTTCGCCTGGACATCTGTGCATACATTTCAATTTCAGCTTTTACTCTGTCACTTGAAAGGTCACGCTTGGCATGAACTCTTGTCAGGTAGATTAAAAACCTGTATATTTTTTAGTTGAAGTTAGAGAAAAGTACCAGTGTTCAGAATGAACTATAATAGTTTGTATATTCAACATTTAAAGTATATTCTATTTTGTTGTACTCTTGTTTCAAAGTGTATTCAAGTAGGTTTTACTGAAATACAGATAACGAAATTTAAAATTGGTGTCTCTTTTTTCCAAGCCTTAATGTGCCTCTGGTGTTCATCCAGATCAACACTGCTACAATGTTTTCTACTTCAGTTCTCAAAACTTAGTTTCAGAAATAGCACAGAATTGGAAATATACCAAAGAATTAAGTTAATTATCTCAGTTATTCTACTAAAAATAGGAGCAACATCTGGTTGATAACACAATGGAAAGAACTTGTATGATAATTTAATTTAAACCATTAATAGTGGTAATTGGGTGACTAGGATTGTCTTTACACTTGTGTTATACTGTCTTACGGTTTCAAAATGAATTAGAGTTGCAATAGCCAGCTTCATAGGTAAATGGGATTCCTTGAAAAAGAGGGAGAAGAGGCACACGGGTGTCAAGAGCAAGAAATCGGGACTCCAGGTGTGCATTAACACAATGCCAAGGAGTAAAGTGATGATTTTAGACAAGCAATTGTTGCAACCCATCAATCTGGGAAGGGTTATAAGGCCATCTCCAAACAACTTAAAATCCATCATTCTACAGTGAGGAAGTCTATTCAGAAGTAGAAAACATTCAAGGCAGTTGCCAATCTTCTCAGGAATGGATTCCCAGCAAATTCACCCCAAGGTCAGGCTGTGCAATGCTCAGAGAAATTGCAAAAAAAATCCAAGAGTTAGATCTCAGATTCCACAAGCCTCAGTTAGCATGTTAAATGTTAAAGTTCATGACAGTACAGTTAGAAAAAGACAAAACAAGTATTTATTTGGAGGACTTGCCAGATAAAAACATCTTCTCTCTAAAAAGAACATGGCAGCAAGACTTAGGTTTGCAAAATTGCATCTGAGTAAATCACAAGACTTCTGGAACCCAATCTTTTGACAGGCGAGAGCAAAGTGGAGATATTTGGCCATAATGCACAATGCCACATTTGGCACTGTGCATTATGGCCAAACAGCATATCAGCACAAAGATACCAACCATCAAGCAGGGTAGAGGGGATATGATTTGGGCTTATTTTGCAGCCACCGGACCTGACACCTTGCAGTCATTGAATTGACTGAACTCTTCTGCCTACCAAGTATTCTAGAGTCAAATGTGAGGCCACGTGTCCAATAGTTAAAGCTAGGCTGATACCAAGAGCTGTTAGAATGCACTGGTTAGAATGCAGTACTGCAGGCTAACTCACTGCTCACTCCAGGAGTTCAATTCTGAGCGACTCGAGGTTAACTCAGCCTTTCATCCTTCTGAGGTCAGTAAAATGGCCCAGATTTCTGGTAGCAGTGTGCTGTCTAAACCGCTTAGAGAGGGCTGTAAAGCATTGAGAAGCGGTTTATAAGTCTAATGCTAATAGTTAATGCTATGAGATCATGCAACAGGACAATGATCTTGAGCACACCAGCAAATCTACAATAGCTGGGGGGAAAAAGCGTTGCAATGGCGCAGTCAAAATTCAGATCTCAACCCGATTGAAATGCTGTGGCGGGACCTCAAGAGAGCTGTGCATAAACATATGCCTACAAACCTCAATGGACTGAAGCAATGTGAAGAAGAATGGGCCAAAATACCTCCATAATGTGAGGCTGATTAAGTCATAGAGAAAACAATTACTTAAAAGTTACTGCTGTTAAAAAGTGGTTTTACAAGCTATTGAATCAAGATGTAGTTAGTTTTTCATATATGATGTCTCCATTTTGGCTCTCATGAGAGCTTTTGTAGAAATTTGCTTTTCCAAAGTTCTGTATTTTAAAGGGCAGGTCATCAACAGTTCTCTTTCTTTGAAGTATGTGGGGGAAATATCTCCAGATTTTAGAGTTAGAGATGGTTGAAATTGAAGTAATGCTTAATGGAGAAAGTGGGAAAGTGAACAAAGCTAGAACTTACAGCTTGATCCCAGACCATATGATGATGATGCTGGAATTATTTGTAGTGTAAGTAAAAGTACTTTAATTAACATTTATATTAAGTATTTTGAAGAATATTCAATATTTTATCTTGGTTATTGCATTCTGGCCATTTGCAGTTCTTTACATGTGAAAATTCTGTAAAAATAAGATGTCTTCGCTTCTAGTGGTCTCCATTTTATCTTTCTTTTATACCAATAACACATATTACAAGGCATTTTTGTGGGTTTGTTATATATTAGATATTCCTTGGAAGAACTTGATGTTGTAATTGGAATTATGTCTTAACAAAAATACTCATTGAAAGGAAAATATGGCCTAAATCCAAATAAGGATGACATCACTTAAATTGTGCTAGTGTTGGGGGTAAGAGTTTCAAGTTTTCTTTCATGATGTACTACAAATAGTGAGTAAAATCTAAGCACTCTTAGTCATTGTAATTAGTCAACCAGAAAGGATTGGTTCCATCTTTTCAGGCAGCAAGGCAATGATTAAATGTTCTCCCTATCTCATGGAGGAAAGTATTTGCTCCAGTTTTTATGCTGTGACTTGTAGACAAAACATCCACTTTTGATGAGCTCCATTTTGGGAGCTAAAGATCAGTGCTATCCTGGCAACGTGAAAAAACATTACACCACAGCAAACCAATAGAGAGCTGTAAGCAAGAGGCCTACTTGGCCTGGAAAAACAGCTTAGGAGATGGGTCTATCAGGATTACATGGAACATGGAAATAGAGAGTGGTACCAACTTTGAGCGCACTTGCAATATGGAAGGGTTGAACCTTTCTGACTCCATCTTGATAAACATTGTATGCAGTGGTGAAATTCATTTTTTTTTTACTACCAGTTCTGTGGCCATGGCTTGGTGAGCTTGGCAGGGGAAGGATACTGCAAAATCTCCATTCCCACCCCACTCTAGGGCCAGCTAGAGGTGGCATTTGCCGGTTCTTTGAACTCCTCAAAATTTCTGCTACTGGTTCTCCAGAATCTGCTGGATTTCACCCCTGATTGTATGACACAATCCAGCAGTCCTCCAATAGCTTGAAAAAATATTTTTTTCCCCATCTCATATTGGTGAGAAGGAATGCTCAGGAGCACTTAAAATTCCAGCCAAATGGCTGCAGCCTGTTAAAGTGAGGTCACTGCCAAACCAGGAAGGAAATATGACAGGAGGATAAAAAGTGGATGAAAGCTTCAAATTATCATCCTATTTAGTGCTTGGTCATATTTTAGCAGCCAGTGCCTTTACAGAGCCCTGAGAAGCAGAGTCCCATTTCCAGGGGCTCTGCTAAAATAGTTAAAAGGGAAATGGGTGGGGTGAAACCTAAAGAAATCCAATAGTAGTACAATTAAATTTTATTTCTTACCCAAAGGAATCGTGGATTGGGTAGATAATGTCAAACATTTTCATAAATTATTTAAGTTTTTCTAAATGGTTCTTGAGGGAGAAGTGATACAAGATGGGACAGGATACTAAAGAGACTCCATGGCATCTATACTGGAAATTGGGACTCCTTGTCCTTATCAAAACTTGACTGTGTGGACAAATAATCTCTAGAAATCAGGTACTTAAGAGAACAAATTCATAAACTAACTGCAGCAACAAACTTGGGTCAGACATCTTTAGGGACAATCTGTTGTGTGCAGATACATGACCTGTGATTCACACATTTGAAAATAGTCAAAAGGCAACATCACAACAGCTTTTCAGTGAAGTAGGCAGTAGAGAAGTCTTTGCATACAGCCCCAAAGAAGGAAGAATGCAGATACAAGATGTCTTAAAACATCCTGTGATACTAGAAAGTAAAATCTGAGCTTCTATAGATAGGAAACATTTACTGAGACCAACAAAGTGCTCATTCTATAGCCAGGTAGAAGTAAGAACCAAGATAAATGCTTCTTGGCATAACACTACAGGTAGTCCTTGAATTACAACAGTTCATTTAATGACAGTTCAAAGTTACAATGGCCGTGAAAAAAGTGAATTATGACTATTTTTCACATGACCAAGTTAGCATGGTCACGTGATCAAAATTCCGATACTTGGCAATTTACTCATTTATGACAGTTGCAGTATCCTGAGGAGGGTGGGACAATTGTGATAATCTTTTGTGATCTGACAAAATCAATGGGAAAGCTGGATTCACTTAACTGTGTTACTAACTTAACATCTGCAGCAGTAGTGGGATTCAAATTTTTTTTACTGCTGGTTCTGTAGACATGGCTTGGTGGGTGTGGTGTGGCTTGGTGGGCATGGCTTGGTGGTGTGGCAGGAGAAGGATACTGTAAAATCTCCATTCCCTCCCCACCCCCGTGGAAGGTTACAGCAAAATCCCCATTCCCTCCCGATCAGCTGGGACTCAGGAGGCAGAGAATAGATGGGGGCGGGGCCAGCCAGAGGTGGTATTTACCAGTTCTCCAAACTACTCAAAATTTCCACTACTGGTTCTCCAGAACCTGCTGAATACCACCTCTGATCTGCAGTGATTCACTTAACAACTGTAGCAAGAAGGTTGTAAAATGCAGCAAAACTCACTTAAATGTCTCACTTAGCAATAGAAATTATGGGCTCAATTGCAGTCATAAGTCAAGGACTATGTGTATTACCTTCCATGTGGGTGAACGACTAGAAATTCTAATACACTGAAATATGTTCAAAAGCAATACGCAGGTTCGAGATTTAACACTAAATTTATTCAAGTAGAAGGCACAATTCGAGACAAACCTCAGAAAAAAATTAACTGAGGCTTATATTAATCTTTATGCTGAACAAAATTTGGTCATATGGTCCAATATGGGAGGAATGAACCCTGGGCATTGGTCTGACCGACTCTTGACAGACAGGACAATGCTGTTACATGCAGTGCAACTTTACAAAGCAAGATCTTAAATATGGGAGGAAAAAACACCTTGTTACAATTAGAGCTGAATAATAACAGTACTTTTCTTCAGAAAAGAAAAAGCATAAGCAGTTAGCCAGACATACTGTATTTTTGTATTTTTTTGTCATAGCATGGAGATAATAAGAAAAAAAACGTCAAGACTATACGAGTAGATTATTAATTCTCCATTCATAAATACTTCTCTCATCCCACCCCCAGAAGTCCATGATAAAAATCTGTGCCTGCATAAACACAGTACATTAATACATTCTCCACCCCTCTTTATATTTCACTTAATCTTAAAAACTTCTCTGGACTTTCATTAAAGGTGAAATCACATACTAAAGATAGATGGTCTGAAGGGTAATTGAAAGATGGCAGCCTATTGGGTCCAATTTGCTCCTCAGTTAAAAGGCTGAGGGCAGCATCTACTTTTAAGGTCTGTTGTGAATACCAGATGTAATCAAGTGTATGCCTGCATTCTCCAGAAGGACGGATCTTCCATGTGGTGTATGGAGGCTCTGTTAGCCCATTTGTACTCAGCAGTTTGTAAGCACTGTTTAGGTTCAGACTAGATTCAGAGAATTGCTTATACACTTCTTCTGTAGGCTCAGCATTGAAATCACCACAGACTATAAGAGGGATGTCCGTGTCCTGGGTGATCTGTTTTAGATTTTCAAGAAGATCGGCACCTTGAGCAGATCGGAACGTCTCCCAGCCATTGCGAGCTTTCAAGTGGGTGACAGCAACACAGAACAATTTCCCGGTGTCATTACATTTCAGGATCTGAACTATAGCAACTTGATTGGTTTTGAACTTCATTGCTGTCAACCTGATGTTGGTACTACTAATTAGCGTAAACCTGCCCTTAAGGAAGAACAAAGCACAGCCATCTGGGCCATTGTTACATTCCACATCTAAACATGGAGAACATGGTTTAGGAAGAAAAGCACATTGGTAGCCCAGCCGACTGAGTAATGGCTGAAAAGTATCAAAATAGTGATCCACTTCTTGTAGACAGAGGATATCTGGCTGGTAAGCAAGGATCTCTTCTAGAATGAGGCACTTCCGTTCTTCCCATCTCAAGGCTTCCATGGGGCATTGGATAAAGTTGTCCTTGCCTTCCCCAAGAGCTGGAATAAAGAAAATATATTAGTTAAGAAAACTTCCTTGGGAAACATTTTCCTTCCCATAAAACATGTAAAAACAAATACCATATTTTTGGAGTATAAGACGCACCGGAGTATAAGACGCACCAAGGTTTTGAAAAGGCAAAAGAAAAGTTTTTGCACTCTGCAAACCTCCCAAAATGGCCCGTTTCCCCCCCCAAAAAAAGGGCATGAATAACCTTTAGGAGGCTTGTAGAGTACTCCTGCCTCCCCTCAAAATGGCCTGTTTTTTTGCAAAAACTGGCCTGATTTTGTTAAAACAAAGGGCATGGACAGCCTTTAGGAGGCTTATAGAATGTTCCTGGGGGCTGCGGGGGCAAAATGGAGCAAAAATGGGGCATTTTTTGCTCATTTCTGCCCCCCCCAGCCCCCAGGAGCACTCTGAAAGCCTCCTAAAAGCTATGCACGGCCATTTTGGTGAAGGGGGCGGGGTTTCAGTAGAATGCTGAAAAAAATACTGTATTCAGTGTATAAGACGCACCCAGATTTTCAGCCACTCTTTTGAGGGAAAAAGGTGCATCTTATACTCCGAAAAATACGGCAATCCAATCCCCACTCTTAAGTGGAACTTTGTAGAAAACTGAAACTATTGGTATACTTTTAGTCATCTAGTACTAGAGAACTACATGGCAAAATTAATCTTCCTTGCTCAAATCTATTCATGAGTGACATACTTGGACTACAGTTTTGTTCAAAATCTAGTTAAACATCGTTTTTGCAATTCCAATTTTACTTTGATTAGTAAATCAAAGCCTAAAGATAATTCTTCCCTATTTATGCACCATTTTATTTAAATATTTTAAACTATATTTGTATAGTTCTAAAGCATGGGATTGATATTTGTATGCTGACCCCAGAGTAAAACTACTACATTACAATGATCATTTTACGAATAAAAATTACTTGATTTATACCTCCAAACACAAACCATTAAAAAGGTGGGCTAAGTTTGATGGTATATTTCACATTATCCAAGGAAAAATTCAAGGTGGCAACTCCACTGGATTTCATATCAACAAAAAGTTTAAAAAATAGCAATTTAGTTCACACATAAGGAATAATCTAAGATGAAAATATATATGTCAGAATATGTGGTGGAATCTACAACTAGAGAGTGTGGGGGTGAAGTTAAGAGACTGGCTAGCTTGCAATCCCTGCAGAGGAAGAAGCAAAGGAGACAACCAAGGAACGCGGGCGGGTGGGCCCTCCGAAGCACTGTACCGGTATGCCCATACTGGGGCATACCGCCTGAAACACTGGTGTCTGTCCACTTTTTACATTCTACTTTTTAGAATAATATTTTAATGATTTTTTTTTTACGTTGGGTTAATACATTTTGTATTTGGATAATATTTATATATTCTAGGTTTATTATTTCTGTGTGTTATCAATATTTTAAATCTTGCTCTGAGTGATGATCCTACTACTTTGTTAGGGATATGATAACATAAATAATAATAAAATTATTACCTTGTCTTATTTAAAAAATATATATTGAAAAGTTTACATATGTTTGTACCCAAAAAATAATGAAAGGGGTCTTAGGTAGCAAACTTAATCATATCTCATCCATTATTATGTGTTTTCGATTGAAAATTCTGACAATTATAGGCTAACTAAACTATTTAGGACCCATTGGATCATACTGAGAAAAAGGCAGTGCTGATGTCCACCACCCCTTCTTGATATGTGGCATAATTAGGCTGATAATATTTTTTTCAACTCCAATGACAAATAAAGTATCATGATCACCTCAGAAATATATCTACAGTGTATTACATGATAATGGATTCACTGCACTGACCAGAACTTTGAAAATAAAATTGGTTTGAACTTCATAAAAATTCCAGCTGCACAGGTATAATGGGTTCTGAATTTTCAATGCATTTTAAAGTTAATAGATTTGAGTTAAGGTAAAGGTTCCCCTGACACATATATGCTAGTTGTTTCAGACTCTAGGAGGCAGTGCTCATCTCCGTTTCAAAGCCGAAGAGCCAGCGCTGTCCGAAGACATCTCCGTGGTCATGTGGCCGGCATGACTAAATGCTGAAGGCACACTGAACGCTGTTCCTTCCCACCAAAGTGATCCCTATTTTTTCTACTTGAATTTTTACATGCTTTTGAACTGCTAGGTTGGCAGAAGCTGGGACAAGTAACAGAAGCTCACTCCGTTACATGGTGCTAGGGATTTGAACTGCCAAACTTTCTGATTAACAAGCTCAGTGTCTTAGCCACTGAACCACTGCATCCTTTAGAGGGACCTTGATTAAAAAAATGTCTCAGTACCCCAAATCTGCTAACTTAAAGAATGCATAAAAAGATCTGTCAACTGAATGAAAGCATATGCACAAAGCCGACTAGACTTTTCATTTTACAAGGCTCAGACACAGTTTCTCAATTAAGATTGTACCTTGTGCAAGTATATTCCATTGCATAACCCTAATGGGCTGATGATTTCTGATAAAGCTGGTCCTCAAATCCACAAAATCCCTTTGGAGCCGGGCTGGACGGTTCTGAAGAACAATCTGGCATTCTTCAAGTAGATCTTTGGCATCTATAGGATCCAGAAATTCAGGATCTGTTTGTTCCAAGTAGTCCTGGTGCTTAGTAATGACACTGCTACTCACAGTCTTAGCCAGTGCACTATACAGCCTACTTGTACTGTTGCCCATGGAATACCCTGAAAAAGAAAGAGAGAAGAACTTCAGTACAGCAATTCCAATTTCTAATCTCTTAATTTCTCTCAGATCAAAACAAATGCATTCATCATTAGAGTTCACATGCAATGTGATAGCCTTACGGTGCTCATAGTCTCCAGATAAAATGAACTTCAGTTTTCCAAATTAGCAGCCAATGTGAAGAGGTATGCTATGTAACATAAGCAAGCACAACTGATAGCATATTTTTCAATATGAAGTTAACAATGCAATATGCATTTCCCTTCTTAAATTCTGCAAATCTAAGTTCCTCTTTTTATACTGTCCTCTTAAGATATTTCACTTAGTCATTGTTATCATCTCTATAAACAAAGTCTCAAGCCCTTAGAATCAACCTATGTTATGGCACCTAGCCAACTGCAGCTTTTTCCAGTTGCCTATTCAGGCTCTTTCAGTTATTGGACTGATATTTGAATGTGACCTATCACATTCCAAATATTTTTTACCAAGTTGTATAGCACAGCTAGTTACACCAATGGTGGCAGCGATTACATCTGAGGCAGTAATCAGCAGAAATGCTTCTTGCTAAACAACACAGCCTACAAAATTTCTGTCATGCCACATGGCGGAACACAGAACTTTATTTCTTTCAAATTGCATAAGAAAGCCAAATCATATATATTCTGCTTTATTAACCAGCAAATACATGTTGCAATCACAAATCAATCTAAAGCTCATTCACTTCTACTTCTTATTTTCATAAATAAAGTATTAAAAAATGTTCCTATAATGTACTGTAAATAAATTCTTGGGTTTACAAAGTTTTTTCCTATGACATCAGCAATATTCTGCAAAAACAACAACAAAAAAACAAAAAACAAAAAAAACAAACCCAAAACCAGGAGATCTGAGTTTCATAAATTTTAAATTAGAGAGCAAGCTAAAATAAACTAATCAAATTTAAAATGGAAAGAACTGCAGTACAAAATTGTGCACTGTTCTCTGGCTTTTCAATAGCTCCCCCCCCCTGCAAATACTAAGCACCCTCACAATCCCAAAGATTTTACATGATAATTTAAATTCTCTTTATAATATATAATCAAGTGCCTTCCTACCCCTGCTAATCTAAACCCCACCATCTTATGCATTGCATATGAACCAAAAAGTTCCCTGCACTTAAAAAAAAAAACTATTCATGATTTCCAGTGTCAAAAGATAAACTTTCCCCCACATGCCTATACCGTAGTAATAGCAAAGCCTATATTAATCTTTTCAAGGCTGCAAAATAAGGATTGCCACTACTTTTAAAATAGGGAATTAAGCTTTTAACAGTTTATTGTCTTCCTGTTTCTTCGGACTGCTCTTTATAATTCTGTTTTAATTCAACAACTATTTATAATTCACAAAGCAGGAAAAGTTAAGAGTTCAGCCTTACAGATCTGTAGAGTTACCCAAGTTGCATTTTGATGAAAAGTGGGCTTTCTAATAACAGAAAGGCAAAATTCTAGAAAGCTGCTAGTTATATTAAACAATAATTACCTGAGAAATTGGATGGATATATCAACACAAGTGGTAAACAACTCTAATGGAGAATTGCACACTGAATTGCCAGCCTCCAAACTCATGTGCAAGCTTTTCCTATGCCACCGGTACATAAGAGACACCTAGTGGTCTTTCATGTAACTTTTCCCATTGAAACAGTTTTTTTTCCTTTTCTTATTTGAGTTTTTACCTCAAATAAAAACTGAATTTATGCCTGCCTTTTGTGATGCCTCATCATTTGTTTCCCTTTTATTGCAAACTGCCTAAACTGCTTGGAACCAGCTGTTTCCCTCAACCTGAGAATAGGGTTCATATTTACCTAAGTGTTTTTTAGCCTTGGCAACTGTAAGATAGGTGGACTTCAACTCCCAGAATTCTCCAGCCAGCATTTGCACTAAAGCGATTCTCAGTGTTTTCCTCCACCTTGATATTTCAGCGTCATAAAAATTGATGAGGTGAAGTAAAGTGCTCACTGCTTTTTTAATGTTGTGTCTTTTTCTTTTTCAATGGAAGATACAAATCTAATCACACCAAGGCATGATTTTCATCATCATGATTTACTAGATAAAACAAGTTGATTTACAAAAGTTCCTGTTTTAAAAATCAAAAGGACTGGATTGAAGACAAAAATCATAATAGCACAAAGTGTGAACCTAATCATCACTGGCTGAACTTTGCATTAACCTTTCTTCACAAAAATCCCATCAGTTAGCTTGTTCTTGGTCTAATACCAGCAAAATATTCTTGATTTGTGTGATTTTCAGGCAAATTCCTCAATAAGCCCATTTATACAATCATTATCCATTGTGCTGTTTCACATTTGGTTCAGTGAATAAACAGTGAATCTTTTTTTAACCAGTATTCTCTCAATTATTAAGATATTTTTCATGACTTGGCTGAGATGACATATTAGAGAACATTGAAAGTGAGTCATGAATAGCAACACACCCAGAAGAGGAATGTGTGCTTTGAAGCATGTCCTCAGGTGATGACATCCATTTCAAAAATATGAAATGTTTTTAATTGGACTAGGAACAAAGGGAATGCTTAAACACTGTTATTTCTTTATCTCTTTCAAAATGCTTAAAATCCTATCATGACAAGTTAAATTAAAAATAACGATATCCCTGGAGCAATCCAGTTTTAGATTATAAATTTCACATTGAAGGACAGGTGACCTACAAAATTGATTGGTTTTATTCTGATTTTTTTTGAAAAGTTCTAAAAGGTTTCCTAGATTTAAGACTCCTCTAAGACATGATTATAGCTGTATGCAGCTTTGATTTGGTTTAAAGGCATTGCAATCAAAACCACCCTTCAAATTGTATCTTCATTCTAATTGTGAAATAATCATATATATTGTGTTGAATCAATTTGCTGGATTCAATGGACTTGTGCTTTATATCAGCAGTGATGAATCACCAATACAACTCAAATTACCCTTTAAATCAAGTCACACATATAAATCAAATTGATTCTGAATTAAATCACAAATTTGAATTGGATCTCAGTTTATTTGTGCACTTCTGTTCATCACAATTATGTTTTCTGAGTTAAACTAAATATACTTTTTTGGATTAACATACATCTATAAATGTATGTAATTTCATCATACAATATACAAAACAACTTCCTAACTTGTTCCTCGAAGACATTTTTAGTAGAGAAATGCCAATAGTAAGTAAGTGAACATACAGCTCAAGGAGTATACATTGTACAACAATGCCTACTTTATTAAAACCTTTACTGTTTTCCCAGAGAAAGTTCTATCTATTGTAAATTATTTCAAAAGCTACAAAAGCTTTGTTGGTCAAAATTCATACTGGTGCAAAAACTTTATGAAAATTTCTGGTCCTGAAACAATTCTACCATTATACTTCATTGCACAGACCCTTCAAAGAATGGTTAAGTCATTTAATATGCATTTTTCATAAATACGAGCAAGAACTCTCTCCCTCCACATACAATTGATAGTTGCATATGATATATATATAACCAGAATAGAAATTTTCCCAAGTTTACCTGCATATTTAATATTATGCAGGAGTGTTGGGTGCACCTTGAAAGCTTTTTCAACATATGCCTGCAATTGTTATTTTGAAAACAAATCTTAGCTAGAAAAGATGGTTGATACTTCATAGATATTTTAACCTGCAATTAAGCTGTTCGTCTCCCATTCCTTTGTGAATAATCTGGACAGATATAGGCATTTTGGAAGCAACAGAAATAGAAATTTCTTCAAATTACTAATCTACGTAACTGTGAGCTGTCTTGTGTCTCCTCCCAACCCATCTTACAATTTTAAACAGCAATCTATTATTACCATGCCAAGCCTACTTTGCTAAATTATTTGGAGATGCTGCAATATTCTAAGTATTTGTAATGCCAATTTAACAGAGAGGGTGATTCTGTCTACTTCTTGTTCAATAAAGCAGATCATAGTCATCAGCAGAATGATATCAATTCTTAAACTCCTACAGCTACATTGCAACAGTATGCAGTAGCAAAATCTTAACATGGAACTCAGCTTACTCTAAAAATATGCACATTCTCTGATAGACCAGACAGCAGCAAACATCTACAAACTAAAATATCTAGAATTCTTGAAATTCTAGATATTTTACTGTTGTAACCTAACAGCCTATACCTTAAGATGTAATTTGTCAGTAGTTTGCACTTCATTTTTTTTATATTGAGCTGTAAATCTTCAACAAAAGTTTAAAATATGCAGAGCTTAGGAGATAATGGTGTGAAAGTCCAACTAGCTGCTTCTGTCTAACCTTGATGCAGCTGAATATTGCTGCTTCCAGCAGAATAAGTAGGTTGCTTAATTGTGCCTATCTAAGTTACAGCAAGTTACTCAATAGTGCTTATGCAATGTAATGGATTGTTCAACCCAGACAATTAATATCCAGCCAGACTCTGCCAGCAATCACTAGGCCCCTCTACACAGGGCAATTCTAGCAATTTGTATTCAGAACATAAGCTCAATGAACCTTGCTTTGGATTAGAATATTACCAATCAATAATTGGGCTATTGTGGTGATTGTAACATGCTAATGTAACAGATGTAAGCTCTGATAAATATTTGCAAGATCCCATGTGTGCTATCATTTATACATTTTTATAAAGATTTGTACAAATGCTATTGAATATGTTTTTTACATTCAGATTATTGCTGGTAGTTTTGCAGATTGTTGAAACATCTTCTATAACCAAAACCTGTGTTTATATAATATTAAAAATGAACAATGATTTATAAAAACTAATGTATTCAATTTCCTAAGTCAATGTCACATCCTAGAATAAAGGATGCAAATATGTCTGGTGTATCCAAGGACAACTATTTTGTATCAACATGAAGCCACTAGGTAAAGTGATGTGCCAATTTGGCATGTGGTGTGGTATCATCAGTAATCTATGCCCTTCATAATTTCTTGCATTGACTATTGTCATGCGCTCTGTACAGGGATGCCCTTGA